TAATTTTTTCCCCTTTAGAAAAAAGTAAAGGCATAGGAAGAAAATACAAAGTGTTATCATTATGACATTTAATGAATTGCTACCAAGTCTAGCTGGTATGAGTTCTGTGCTGAATGACAATAAAATATATCCATCAATAGCAACACCATAGCAAAAATAATAAAAAAGAATTTATATGGATTGCTCAACTAGGTCTATAATAACTCTTTTTTTCAAAATAAACATTGCACTCAAGGTCAAACATCAGAAGGTAATACAAAGTCTCACCAAGAAAATTCCACTGACACGTTTCATTGCTTTCCTTTCCCTCTACATGTTCTATTCATTTGCTTCCACCCAACCCAGCAGCAGCTGAGGGAAAAGAAAGCTTTCAGAAATACTATTTTTCCCCAAGTTGATAAAAAACCAGAGCACGAGCAAACGAAAACTATTGTTTGGGTGTATGTCTGCATGACTCTGCAGGGAATCATGGCAATTCTCATTCATCCTGTTCTAAAAACTCTTGTTCTGCCAAAGATAATGGCAAGGACCAGCTTTCTCCTGGCTTTCATCTATGGTCCTCTGAGTTCTGCACACACCTCCACAGGCACTGCACTCACTGATTTCATTCAGACTGAAAAGTTAATGAGTTCTCAAGTGATCAGTTTTGGGTTGCCTCTTCATACATTTGTAATGTTACTGCCTGTGTTTCTTTTCCTTGCAGAAGGTACTCACTCCTAAATAACATTTCCTTGATTGTATGTAAACAAATATGTGTGACGGAAACAAAATTCTGTGCAGCTGCAAGGCTGGTCTCTCACAGCGTGGATTTTTATTGCTCTGGATCATCAACAGAGTCCCTAGAAAATCCAGGTAAGTTTTATGACTTCAGGTCTCATCTGAATAGAAGAGAAAAAGAAAATAAAAGAACACTGAGATATTACCAAAAATATACTTAATAGGTAGCTCTAAATTTGCTGATCTCAAAGAGAAAGGACCAAGAGCAGAAAACTGAAGTACTGGGCTGGGCTGACCTGCTGCATTGATAGCATTGAGCTGGACTCAGCCTCCTGGAGCTTTGAGGAGTTCTGGGTATGCAATAAACTCATATTCCTCCTGAATAAAACCTGTCCACCCATGTCTGTCTCTCCACATGGAAGAGACTTGGACCCACCCTATGAAGAAGTGACATCCAAGACAGCCTCAGGCAGCTCTCTGACCTTGTGATCTTGTGCAGGGCTGAGGATCCTGACTCAACACTGAGGTGAAGCTGCAGAGCACAGAGTGTTTGTGTCACAGCAGCCCTGGTGTGTGACACAGCACAGCCCTGTCACACAGGCTCCCCTGCATCCCACTGAAGCCCATTAATGACATAAATCATGACTCATGGTATTACAAACAGAACAGCAGCCAGCCAAACCCAAATACAGATCCTTGGTCTTGATTTCACTTGCAGAGATGCAACTCAGATGATTTCAGTGGAGCACTTCCTAATTTCTTTGGACTTTTTCTTTTTGTTGAAGCATGATTGGGGAAAAAAGTCTTTTTTTTCAGAATGATGATGAAAGAATTAATATATGTTAACGTACCACTGTGTAATAATAAGAAACTCAACAATCACATCAGAGAAGAATTAAGGGGAAATAAACAGGAAATTTGAACAGCTCAGCTTGAAAAACTTTCTGTATTTTCCTGTACAAGAACTTCCAGGGAAAGAAAACTGCCTGCGGTGTTTGATATGACCTGAAGAAGAACGTAAAACTAAGTACAAGTCATTTCACCCATGAAGATTCATATCCAATAAATTGAATTAAAGAAGATGAGGAAAACAGATCCCAAAGAGAGGCATGCTTCACAGAGAACTTCCAGTCATTGCGTGCAATGGTGCCTGCCTAGCACGGTAAGGACTCTGCTGATTCTCCAGGGGATACTGTGCTGAGCTGAACACAGCACAGGGAAATCCTTCCCGAAGTCTTCCCTCTGAAGAACGCCAAGAACAAATCTATTTGGGCGAGAAAACCCCATTCATTGAGCTGTGATGGAAATATCTTGCATAACAATCTAATCTAGTTTGGGAACTTTGTGGCTTGGTGGAATTCATGAGAACGATTTTCCTCTTAAATCCTACATTCTTCAGAACTGTTCCAAAATATGGTTAGAAAAAACAGCTGTTGACACTTTCCTTCTAATTCCTGAATGTGTGGGTTTGGGACTAACACCCCACTCCATGCTCCCCCTCTCTCTGCCCTGTTTATCCAGAGGAGAACATGAGGGGATGCCTGTTCCCTAACACTTGCTAGCACAAACTACATATTGCTGTAACAGCCAAACTTACTTAGATTTATACATTCATTCACAAAGTAGTAATAGGAAACATACTTTATGCTTCCCTCCTATTTGTCTGCATTTTGAGGCTACAGTAGCCCTGCATAAATCAATGTTACAAGTAGGATTTCCACAAGCAGCCTAGAAGCACATATTAAACACATTTACACTGAAAATTCTATTTGCTGTGAAACACTAAATGTTACATTTATATTACAATCTCATGCAAAAGTTCACTCCTCCAGCCTTTTCTTGTCCAAAACACTGCTGTATTTAATCACGTACTTATTCCTCTGATGTCTCACACTTAGAACTTTACGAATCTATGCAAATACAAATGCAGTCATTTTGAAGAATGAGTTTCTATATGAAAGGTTACCTGTCCTATAACAACTGGCTAACCATGCTTACCCTGTTTTAACTACTGTGGAAGGGTTCTTTGCTAACCTAGCACTATTTTTCAAGGCTGGTGAATTAGAATGGTAAGTCATAAAAAGAACTGGTGGATGCTTCCCCTCCTCATCAATGACAATAACAAATTTAAATGGCAAAATCCTTAAGAAAACATATGGGTGCTATGTTTAAACAGACCATTAATAGTGCACAATGTAAGAACTCAGCAGAATGTTTTTAAAGTAGTTCCAAAACCAAGTATATGACTTAGAGCTATAATCTAACACTGTATTTGCTATACAAACAACTTCCTATGCAGAGTTAATATATCCAGACAAGCTGTAAAACCTGGTACAGTTTGTAGGGACCTCCTCTGATCCCGAAACCCCTGAACTGCAGCCTCCTGAACTTTGCATCTATTGAGGAAGTCCTGACTTTGGACCAAGAGTTGGCAGAGAGGCAGGGTGGCGGTGGGAGGCTCGACAAACCCCTCCAGCAAACCCCGCATCACCTCCTGCCCTCGGTTTGCAGCGCTGGGGTCGGAGTGAGCGGTGCCCGGGCTCCCCTCCCCGGCACGGGGACACTTCGGGGGCTCCTGCCCATCACCTCCTGCCCTCGGTTTGCAGCGCTGGGGTCGGAGCGAGCGGTGCCCGGGCTCCCCTCCCCGGGGACACTTCGGGGGCTCCTGCCCATGCTGCAGCACCCTCCCGGGGCACAGGACACCCCCTCCCCGCCCCTCGTACCATTGAGCTGGTTGTAGACCACTTCCTCCAGGTGGTCCAGGCGCTGCAGGATGGACTCCCTGTCGGCCAGGCTGCCCACCTTGGCGCCGCGGCTCCTGGCCCGGCGCTCCGCGCTCCGGACGATCTGCACCAGCTCCTGGGAGCGGTCCTGGATCCTGCAGTACACGGAGAAGAGGATGATGCCCACGAAGACCAAGATGTTCACCGTCAACAAAGTTTTGATTTTCCGTGCCACCGCCATGGGAGCCGCGGGCGCGGTGGCGGGGGGCGCATCCAGGCGCGGCGAGCGGCGGCCCCGCGGCCACCCGGCGAGGGGCGCGCCCGGGGCGCGGAGCGGAGCCGCGCGGAGCGGAGCCGAGGGCAGCGGAGCCAGCAGAGAGCGGGAGCGGAGCCGAGGAGAGCGGAGCTGTCCTTCAGCACCGCCCCGCGCCCGCCGTCGCCCCGCGGGGCCCGCGCCGCGGCGGGCAGGGCGGCATGGAGCTCTGCTGCTCCGCCGAGCCTCCTCCTCCTCCTCCTCTTCCTCCTCCTGCTGCTGCTGCTGCTGCTCCGGCGGCTCCCGCCCGCCCGCCCTCGCTCGCTGTCCGCCGCCCCAAACGCAGAGCGCCGGTGCGCGGTGACGTGCTCGGGGGATCTCATCGGCATGCACACGGCGGAGCCGCGCCCGCCCCGCGCCCTGCCCAGCGGCCCCGCCGCGCCCAAGGGGCCATCTTACCGCCGCTGCCCCCCCGGAGAGCCCGCACTGCCCGCGGGCACCGGCCCAGGGTGAAGGTGTCCTTGGAGGGGAGCGATGCCCCACCCGTCTCAGCGGTGGAGATGAGGTGAAGCAAGTTCGCACGCTCCCCGGCAAGAGGGAGAGCTGGCAGCGCGCTCGGCTCCGTGGGTTTCCCCAGCAGCCCGAGTACGGCAATGGTTTGGGATCCTGCATGGAAATGACATGGTTGGGACCACATCCACAGGCAAGAGAAGTTCTTGCCAAGCATCCATAGAAAAATGGGCTCATAAAATAGTTTAGGTTGGCAGAAATGTTTAAAAGCCCATCTGCTCCAAGCCCTCTGCAATGAGCAGGGACATCTTCAACTAGATCAGGCTGCTCAGAGCCCTGTCTGAACTGACCTCTAATGTTTCCAGGGATGGGGCATCCATCGCCTCTCTGGGCAACTTATGACAGCATTTTATCAACCTCATCAGAAAATATTTATTCTTTATATCTAGTCGAAATTGATAATCTCTCAGGTCAAAACCATTAACTCTAATCTCAATACCTATGGACATTAAATACTCATTTTCAACAACTTCTCCATCATGTTCACACTGATGCTCCTTTTATACAAAAAGATATACCCATCTCACTTAAAGGGTTGCATACCATAGGATGCATCCTGGTGCTGGGAATTTTTCTCCTTTCATCCTTCCTTCGTGGTTTCAGGAGCTGCCAGCTCAAAGTCTAGCAAAGGTTACAACCTCCCCAAGTTCATTGAAACTTAGCGAGTCCTGCTCAGGGTTCCCTGATAAATTCTCCACTGCTGGTCCTGCTTCTGACCCTCCTGCTGCTCACCTTCTGCAAGGCCCCTGAGGGTGCAGTTTCTTTGAGAAGATGTGTTTCTGTCCTAGAGGAATTTTCTTCTCCCCTGGTCTTCTGAGGATCACCAGTGAGATCTGTGTTGAGCAGAAAAGACCTAAACTGGAGTTTCACCATCATCTCATCTTATCCCTGGAAGAAGATACCACAAGTTTCAGCAGTGTCATCTCTTCCAAGTATGGAAATATGTACATGATTTAGTTCTTTCCTACATTACTGAATTCTTAAGTACAAATAATGCCTAGGTGCAGTATGAGATCTTTCACTCAAGCTGCAGCAAATATCTCTTAGTCACTCAGCAGAAGCAGCTCAGCATCTGAAATTTTCCGGTGCTTTGATTATTTCAGTAGTATTCTTATTGCAAATCACTCACAGCATTACATTTTCCTAGCATATCACAATTTGGTTTAAGAAAATATTGAACTAATGCTCAAGTGCAGCTTATTTGATGGCTCCACAGCATTTAATATATTATAGCAACACCTGCTGGTCTTGATATGGTTAAGAATCTGTTACATCCCTATTTCCATTATAAACTCCAAGTTCACAAGCTGGCCACAAGAATTCAGATTGGATTCTGACACGAGTTTATAGTTTGTCCCAAGGCTTGTAAAACACCTTCAACATTCTCAGAGAATTTACCAAGTTTTGATGAGGATTTTTTGCATCATTGCAGTTTTAAACTGGCTTTCACAGACATGATTTCATCCATGACTGGCTTAGCTAAAGGAAACCACTTTTTGACCTAAGTAAATTTCTTAAATGGTCAGCTTAAAATATTCTCATATTCTTCTGTACACACCACAGACTGTGTTCACAAGGCTGAAACCTCACCCAATATCACTCAAATAATAGCTAGCTCATGTAGCTCGCTGTTCCTTCACACAACTCAAAGCAAGTTGCAAAAGACACACCAGAGCTGACTGAAGGACAGCAGAAGTGTTTCTGGACAAATTTCATTATGAAATTATATATTTTATTTTTTCCTTGGAACCAAAAAAAAAGGCACTATAATATTTTCACACGAACAACACTTGAGCTGAAGCCACTGTTTCCTGCCCAAAAGGGTCAAGTTTCAATTTTAATTCCCACAGAAAAGACTTATATTGCCAAAAGAAAATTTTATCAAAATCACTGTATCTAACAGCTGGATTTCAGTGAAAATGCTTTAGCTGCAGCTAAAGGAATCAGCTCTGATTGCTGATCCTTCCTCCAAATGGAGACCATGGGAAGGCATTGGTAGCTGTTCCCAATCAATGGACCAAGCCAGAGGCTATGCTGGGATTCCATTCCAAACCACAAATCCAGTTTCTCTCTCTCTCACACACTGATTTTCACTCCCATCCATCTCCGTGGGGCTCCTGTTTCCATTCATCATTGAAGATGGATCAGGAAGATGCTGTAGAGGCACACCAAGCCCCCGTGCATTCAAATGGCAGCCTGCAGGTGATCACACTCTCCATCCCTGTGCTCCCCCTGTGCTCAGCCAAAGGGAACACCTGGATGAAGGACAGCAGGCTGCAGGTGAAGCTGATATCAAACAGCCAGAGGTAAGGACTCTGAAATTCCAGGCAGCACTCTGAAATATCCATCTGCCACAAGCATCTCCCCAAAAGCAGCAAAGATGGTCCATTGCCTTGGGGCACTTCTGAGCTGCTACTGGGCTGTCAAATAGCTGAGGCTGTAATGGTAACAGCAACATGTACAACCAAACCTTGCTGTTGTCTGAGGCTCTTCTTGAAGCTGTGCTTGGTCTTGTGCAACGTTGGCCTTACAACATTTATATTTGCTTCTGTCGACTCGTGGTTACTGCAGAATGTTCCATCTTGGCATGAGGATGCTGGTTCAGAGGAGAACTTCAGCTGCTTCTGCATTTAAAATCCTGTTTGACTTAGCTACTGAGCTATGAGACAGAAAATTTCACTTAAAACAACAGGGAACAAAAATATTTTGAAAATAACTTTACTAACACCATTTTTACAGCCATTATGTACAGAGCCTATCATGCAGCTCCTCAAGGCAGCAGACTCTAAGTCAATGTGAACCCAGTGCATTTGGAGCTACAAACCTCAACCAACACAAATTTTTTTAGCCAGCTACTGAAATCTGTGGATTGTACAACAACTGAGTATGATCAACATACCTACCATCATCTGGACAGTTCTCATGTTGACTTTTCCCAAAAAGGGCTCAGAAAAAAATATTAAAAGAGACATGTGGAAGTGCCATCCCTACAGCAGAACCCTTGGAGGCACCATGCCTTCAGTCCCAGGTGTGGTGGGTACATGCTCAGATAACCAGTGGGTTTCAATGTTCTATGAGGTGTTTTATGTTGAATTTCATTTTAAATAAGATAAAGGAACTAGCTAAAGAAACAAAAAAGTAAGATTTTACTTTTGAGAAAAGGCAAGAAGAGGCTGATTAAAAAGTTGCTTGAAAGTTTTTTGAATTTTAAAAAGCCTAGGCTGAAAAAAAGTATTGAATTCAAGTTAATAACCATAAAATCATTCCCAAACACTTTTCCAAAAGGACAAGATTGATTTACCATTTCTAAAGAGACATACCTTTCTGATCATCCTACTGCATGATATGAGACATTTGCAGGAATGAATAATGTGTAGAAGGGAAGACTTTGATGTTTCAAGTACTTGAACACTAGCTTTAAAGAAAGAAAAAGACACCACAGACAAAATATTATGCCAGTGATGATCTCCACTGCAGATTCCAGCTGTAGTTACTCACCCACAGACATCACCCACCATTTTCCCAGTGAAACCCCAAATGCATTTGCTAGCACTTTTCTTAGAGTTTTAACACAGCCTAATATTTTTCTACTTCATTTTCTACTTTTCTACTTATTTAGAAGAAAACAAAAAGCAAAAGCAGCAAGCAGAGCCTCAGATCTATTGAACACTCAGACACACAGAGCTGAGGCCCTCACCCTGTTGCAAAGAGGCACTGCAGCCCCTCAGATACTGAGATGCCTTAAAATCTGAACACACATTTCAGAAATTATATATATATGTAATATATGTGTAGCCTTTTAATTTTGGCCGTATTAGTCCCTTAATAAGATTACACAGAAGTTTCATAAATGGAATTTGGGATGCTTCCTCTAAAACTGCAGCAATTCCCTCTTGCACATGGGACAGTTCTTCAAATGCACAGTTCATGCTGTGTTCTACCACCTGTGGCTGTGACACAAACATGCACTTCTTTTATATTCTTCCTGTAGCATTAAAGCTACAGTTTGACCCTGCAGAGTGAATTTATAATAGACAGCACAATTGCCAGCAGATCTGCTGCTTTCAAGCCTGGGAGATTGTGCTGATGACCACTCTGTAGTAAAAGCGTGCGGATAAAACTCAACAATTATCCAAACGTGCATTAAACCCCCAATAAACCTGTCATTGTGAAACCAGATTATAAATAATGCCAAGACTAAAATATTCAACCCACATACTAACATTTTACAAAGCTCTAATTAATAAACATTAGAGCTCTCACCCATTTTAATAAGAATTGAGTGGAGCTGCCTTTTTAAAATCCAACTGCATAGTCCTCCATCCATTTCCTACTATTATCTCCTACTGTAATTCCTGAATAGGTGCTTGTTTGCTAAGAGAGGATTATCACCATTCACCATCATCAAAAATTTCTTGCAGGGACTTAGATTTACCATGCAACAAGAGAAAAAGCATCTTTGAGGACCTTGTCTCCCCCAGATGGCAGAGAGGCTCAGCCCTCAGAACAGGGAAGGTGGCTGGGACCTGCCTGGCAGCTGCTGCACTGGGATTCCAAGCTGCAGACTGATGGTTTTGATCATCCCATAACTTACTGCAAGGAATTTCAGAGTTGCTGTGATAAGATAGAGACTCACACTGGAAATAAATCAGGGAAGCTTTCAAGGACGGCTTCTATGTTTATGAGAATTGCAATAAAGAAAATAAATGTGCAAGAGATATATAAATGTAATTTAATATCCAGCTATTACAGATATAGAAATTACCTCATTATACTCCTTGAAATCCATCTTTACTTATTCCTGATGCCAGAAAACTTACAAAGCCCTAAACAATGGCTAAGCTGTTAGCATGCTGAGACTTCTACTTTTCACACTGTCCAACATTATCTTCTGGTTCTGCATGTTCCTTCTGCTGCTCTCAGGCACTGCACAGACTTTAAAACAGAGACTGCTTTTTGATAGGGCTTTTCTGTTTCAAAAAAGGGTTAATGAATGATGCTCCTAATTCCAAGAGAATATTAATTTTCAGCTCTGTCTGTGACATGTGTGGATTACAATCCTCAGCTCCTTCTTGGAATCCATTTGTCTCATTTCCACTTCTACTCTTAAACAGCCAACCTTATGGTAGCACAATTTCCTGTCAGCTCTTTCATTAGCCCTTGATCAGATATTATTTTAGGAAACCTGTCCAGATCAAGTTTCCTATTCCAGCATGTTTCTAATACAGCAGTGCTGCCTTTGGGGAGAAGCCTGTTCTAGGAAGGAAGGAAGGAAGGAAGGAAGGAAGGAAGGAAGGAAGGAAGGAAGGAGCTCCCTCTCCAATCCATCTGAAAGCTGATGAAAAAGCTAAACATTATCCCTGACTTAGGAAAGTTAAAAATATTTTGCTTTTTGCTACTGGAATTGCACTGAATCCAGTAGGGCGCATAAATTTTTAGCCATCACTGTAGCAGTCCCTGTTCTGCCAGGAGGAACAGGCTTGTGGGCTTGTGCAGGTATTTGTCCAGGCTGGTCCTCTGGTAGGAAAAGAACCTCATACAATATTCATTACTGACTCGTCTCTGTCTTGATGCACATTATTAAGAGCTGCCTGGCCCTCCAGCAACATCTTCACAACAAAATTAAGAAACACAGCCAGCCATCATGTCAAAGTCCTAAGAGATTAAATATTCTAAGTGCAGCAGCACCAGGGTAAATTAGTATTGTTACCTCCTGACCCCCAGAGCTGCACCCAATGCTGGTTTTAAACAATAAAAATAATGAGATTTTTAGATTCCATTTATTTTGAAACAACAACTGGCAGCTTGAGAGAAGAAAACATGCTTTGGCAAATAAAGTTGACATTGACATTTTTAGTAAAGAATAGCTTTATGGTGCCTTGTCACTGGGCAAATCTGAAGAATCACTGCTGCCTCTGATGTATGATGTTTTTCACAGGGACAGCGTATGTATGAGTAATAAAGAACATTTAGTACAGTTTGTATCTGCCTTTAACAGAGATGTTCAGAATATTTAAATAGAAACCAAAACATTTCTAGCATTGAAGTCTTCAATGCATTTTTAAAATATTTCATCTTAAAAAAATAAGTTGAAGGCTGATGCATGATAAAATTCCATCCTAAAACTATGCCAGTGAGAAGCCTTGGCAGATGGAAGTAGGATGACAGAACCACATTCATTTAGTTGGGTTGGATTCCCTAATATTTCCAGTAAAGGGCAAAGTCCAATTTAACAGTTTTGGAGAGAGTTTTTGGGGGGTTTGGGGTTTTTTTTTAACACACTTTAAAATGAGACAGTCAGTAGGAAAAGAACATTTAAGACTATATTGGACTGTGCAAATGCTTTCAGAACTGTTCTGTCTTTTCCTGCTCCAGACCCCACAGCTTCTCTAGCTTTCAATTTCTCCATCTGAAAACTGGGGACAGCTTGCCATAAGGGAGGTGACAGAATTTGCTTTTATTAATCTCCCTCTCAATTGATTTAGAGACCATATGGAGTTTAAAACAAAAAGAAATTCAAACCAAGAAAAACACGGAAAACCAAGGAGTTAGGAGGCACCAAAAGTGCAATGGTGAGGGGAGCTGCAGGTAGGCAGAGACATGTAGGTAATGGCATGCCCACATGTTCATCACCCTTTTAGCTCTAGATGCTGGGAAGACATTCTCTATTATTCATTAATTCTGTGGTGAGCAGACAGATTAAGAATTTTCCTGTATTAATTAATCTTGCTCTGGGCTATGAAATTGAAAAGCTTCATTTATTTATATATTTATTTATTTTGAGGGAGAACAATTTCTCAGCAAAGCCCTCCCCAGTGAAACTGCAGCATCAAAGCCTCTGGCCAAGCTCCCAAGCATTCCATACTGTGCCTGCCTTCAGCCACCACATCATGATATATAATTACAGGCACAGATCACTCACTGCTTCTGGTACTAAATACAGGGAGATGTTTTACACTGGGGGCTTGATTGTGGTACCGACATTAATACCAGCCATAAAGGACAGATCACATCCACTGATAGAAAGGAAATGTGAAATGGATCAGGTCTGAAATTTCCTTTATGTTGTTTATTATTATATATGATATCCAACACACATCCAGTGGTATCAGCTCACACAAAAAAAATCCTGACATTAAATCCTTTCTTGTCCATTGAGCTGCTTTTGATTTGCATAAACCAAAGATGAGCAACAAGCAGTGTGTGGGGTGTCCAGCCCTGAGCAAGGAGTTGATTGGTGGTTTCATTACCCTTCACCCCTGAGGCTCACAGACCCCAGGAGGACAAGGCTGAGCTTAGCAAGGACCTGCTTTGGCCTGAAATCCTGGGCTTTCAGCTGCTGTTTAACAGAGTGTTGCAGGGAGCTGCACTGCTGCCTGTTAGCACACTTTGTTCAACACAATTAGTACAATTCCCTGCCAGAGAAAACACTAAGGGATAGCTCAGTGACAGACTGGGGTTATTCAACTCTTGACAAAAGGTTAGGAGAATTCTCTTGAACCAGTAATTGTCTGTCACATGAAATACTGCAACTCCTTGAGCACAGGAGGAGGACACCATAACATGAAGTGGATTAGGGCAGGAGGAAGCTAGAGACAGGCAGGTTAATAGAGAGGAATCCAAATGGACTTGCCAAAACACTCTGCGGAAGAATGGACAAAAAAAATAAAGAATAGAAGTTAATAAGGACCTCAATTTTTTCTGGTGTTTGTAGGTAAAATAACTGAAGTTGGTTTCCTTCCAAGTCTTCAAGATTTTTGAGGTCAGTATGTGCACAGGGAATTTCTGTGGCATTGCACAGAGGGGCCTCAGAGGAATTGGCACACGAGCTAAAACAAGACAGAATGGCAGAGGAAGAATAATGTATTTCTTGTGGTGACAACATTGACTACACGGTGAAAGGAGACTCACATCATCAACACATCATCCCAAAGCTGCAGAGCCCAGTCCAGACAAGCTGCCACTGTTCCCTGGCTAACTGCAGGCAAGGAGGTGGATTGCCTGCCCTGGAAATTGTTCTGCAGGTTTGGTTTGAGAAAAGGAGATGTAGGAAGCCTTCAGAAGGGGCACACCTTTTTCAAGCACATGAGTGCACAAGTCAGGTTTGGAACAGAGGGTAAGAAAGGCTTAAAGTGAAAATTTATCATTTGATCTTGTAATGGAGCCAGAAGGGATGTTCACAGCACATATTTTACTACTGGCTTTAACTGGTCACAGATCCAACTACTGATTACCACTAAATTAATTCTGTTGATGAATCCTTCAGTATGTATCTTACAGTCCTCTTTTCTCCCCCATGACACTTTCCTAAATTTTTTGTTCTCAATGCCTGAATGGAGCACTTATCTACAACAGGACCCTGATCTTGACTGGGACAGGGAGCTGCTTCCACCTGTCACACACAGACAGGACAAG